AGCTGAAAGAGGACACACTAAAAGAGAGAGAGATGGATGACATGTGGGGTTGTTTTCTATCTACCATCTGTGAAGGAAGAGACCACACCAGCGTCAGTGTGTCTAGTTTGTCACACACACACACACACACACACACACACACACACACACACACACACACACACACACACACACACACACACACACACACACACACACTTTCTTTAAGAAGCTCCTCTGTATGTACCAGTCCAAACCACAGCAGCATGTTGTGCCAGTTGTCAAAGAGATTCACTGGAAAACCTCAGAAAGCTACAATGTGACAATGCAAGCCCACCCATTTCTCCTGTCTAATAAAACTGGTCAAAAGTCAGCAATTTACCTGCAAGCTGAGGGCAATCTGACGGATGTACATCATATTGAGGTCCTCCAGTATCCAAAGTTTTTCCTCCATGTCTGCGTATTTATTATCAGTTGGCATCCTTTGTGCAGGTGGAAGCAAATAAAAGGGGGAATAAAATTGCTTCTTTTTGAAGGCGAGTTACAGGATTCCAGTCCGCTATCCTGCTGAAACCGCTGTAGGGAACTTCATCTTCACTTCCATGAGCAAAACTCGTGCGCAAGAGTTTCACTCTCCGTCCAACGCGAGACTGGCAACTCCGGGGAGAGAGCAAGCTGGGGTCTTCTCTCCTCTCCTACTTTACATGCGCACAACAAAAATCCTTGTAAACACCCACAGTAAACAGCGGGGGAAGAATGGAGCCCTTTTTTTTTTTTCTTTTTTAAAACGGAGCTCTTCTTTGTGTCCCCGCTGTGAACGTGGTGTGTTCTCTGTGACTAGAAACCTCTCCACAAAAGGGCATCGCCTCTGCGGGAGCAATCGGCACAACTACTCCACTGTATCAGTGAGCGCGTATGCGCCTGGACGCTCCTCCGGCTGCTCGGCGTTAAATTAACCCCTAAGACGCGCTTCGGGCAGCAAGAGCGAACTTTAAAAAGAAAGAAAACAGAGAAAAAGGGGGGAGGAGAGAGATATATTGCTCTCCTTCAAACCAATAAACACCGCAAATGCCAGAGCAGAACGCAGCCGCTAGCGGGTGGAGAGCTTTGTTCTTTATTACGCCGTAATGGAGGGAATTTGAACCATGACAGCTGGGGCTCCGTATCATCGGATAAGGCACGGACCCCACTTAAAAATAAGTCTTGATATTTAATACAGAAACAGGTTTTTTCTTCATTCCTTTCAGACAAAAAAAACGGGAAAAGATTCTGGGGGGGGGGGGGGGGGGTTTTTTTGGGGAAAAAAAAAAAAAATATCAGGAGACCAAAAAAA